GGGGGGGGATTTTGTGGCCTGTTACAAACTGGTTAGGGGGGATCAGCAGGCGCTGGGGGAGTCCCTGTTCCCCCGAGCGCCGCAAAGAGTGACCAGGAACAATGGTCACAAGCTGGCGGAGGGAAGGTTTAAGTTGGACATCAGGAGGCGCTACTTCACGGTCAGGGCGGCTAGGGTCTGGAACCAGCTTCCAAGTGAGGTGGTGCAGGCTCCCACCCTGGGGGTTTTTAAGAGGAGGTTGGATGACCACCTTACTGGGGTCGTTTGACCCCAGTACTCTTTCCTGCCATGGCAGGGGGTCGGACTAGATGATCTGCTCAGGTCCCTTCCAACCCTAGAAACTATGAAACCAGGCTATGGACACACTAATTCTGAAGTCTCAACAGATTTTAAATATAAGAGAATAGTGGTTGTAGGTATTACATGTGTCCCTATTTTCCCCCATCATTTTTATGGTATTTCAGTCACATTTTCTTAATAGTTTGGTAGAGAAAATACTTACTTGTTGCGGTGTGAAAGATCCCCGAACAGTGGAAAATGAACATACCCAAAGTTCTGCCAAATGAATAGATTGAGAAGCTAGAGAAAATTACCTTTTTTTTTTAAATCTCATTTATTTACTGAAATCCTAGTAGTTATGTAAGTGATAAAAATGGTTGGGACAGATATCAGATTGTTAAATGGACAGTGTCCCTTTAAGCTAGCATACTAATGCTAACTTTGATTTCTTTGATTGGAACACCCAGACTCAAAACAGAGCAGCCCAGTCATCTAGTCAGATGGTATGAAGGAGATGTTAATTATTGAAAGGTCACCTTTTTATTTAGCTCTGCAAACGCGCACAATTTACAGCAACTTTTCCTTGTGCATTTACTTCTGGTAGTTTAACCTCTGGCAGTGTCAAACAGAGAATATTCAAGAGCAACAGAATGCTGGAATTGATGGAGAAACTGGTCTTGGTTTGATCCTCAGCCCTTACTCCTAGCTGGCCAGACTGATTTTTTTAAATTCCCCTGAACAGGACAACTATAACTTAACCAGGGTTATGACATAGCTTAGCCACAATATTTAAAACGTTCAGTCCTGAGTGATAACTGCATTTTACATGAAACCAGTCCCTTTTTCTGAATGTGAAAATTTCATTTGAAATGGAGAGAGGTATTTGCTATATTTGTGCTAAGTGTGAAAATGTGTATAGTTCTGACTTCCCCTCCCCGCCACCATATTCATCTTTTTTTAAAAGATTTTTGTACAAACTGATTTCAGAATTATTTCATAACTATCTTTTTTTCATCCTTTTGTACGGTCCCACTTGGGGCATTGGTTTCATTATTTTTAGTTGCACGTGCAGCTTTCCTTGTCTCTTTGACATGAACCGACAGTAAAATTCTGACCCTTCCAAAAACTTCATACACATATCCATGATTACAACCAGCCCATCATGTTTTGGGTTTCCTTGGGTCCACCCAAGGAACTGGATTAATTGTTGTAGCTCTCCTTTGGAATGTTGTATTTCCAGTCTCCCAGGGAAAACTTACTCAGAAACATAATCAGTGGCATAATTAGTGCAGTAAAGTATTCCACAGCTTATGTAATTGAGGCATATGTTGTGTGTAGTTAGAAATCCCCAAATTAATGTTTAGCTTGGGGCTTTTCATGACGCCAATCAATATAGCATGTAAGCACATCCCTGTAGGTACACAGCAACATAATACTTCAAAGCTACCAAAATATTTTCTCATCATATAAAAAGTACTGTAATTTAATCTTATACAGGAGTCATCATTCTGTCCACCTTTCCCTCGGTGGGAGAGTTCTGAAGTGTAAAATGCTATAGACATTATGTAGGTATAACACTAAAGTAATTCACTTCTGTTTTATGGCTTTATCTCACTGAAGATGAACAATACAATACATTCCTTAATTTCGTAATATAAGGTGGTGTAGAGCCTCACCATGCTTGTGCTTGCTCTAAAGAGCATAGTTATGCAGCAATTGTTGGGGGGTTTTATGGATAGATTCTCAGACCTGGATCTTGAAAGAGATAGGCCCCACTCCTTTCTCTGCAACAGACTTCCTGTTTGACCTTGGGCAAGCCTTGTAGCCTTTCTGTGCCTGACTTCTGCATCTCTAACATGGAGCAGTGCTTAAAGCAGTGCTTCCAAAACTTTTCCCCATTTTTGGCCCCACTTCCTCAACATGGCCCCTAACTCCCAACCCACAGCCTCCCACCCCCACAATCCCATCTGCTGATGTTGTGACCCCATTTGGGGTTGCAACCCACAGTTTGGGAACCACTGGCTTAAAGCATCATTGTCTGCAACCAGTTACCTAGATTACAGGTAACTTTGTAACCTATAAGTAGTAGTAAGGATCACATAGGGATGTTGTGATTAGGACTGCAGTATCATTTGGTGATTGACAGGTGCTCATACCATGATCAATGAGGCCTCATAAACACTGTTAATAGATGTGCATTTTGCCCTTCTGGTCCTGTAAATTAACCTATGGGGAGCATGGGTTATACTGAAATAGTCAGCGTTTCATTTCAAATGATATGGGAAGACTATACATTAAATAATCCAAATACACTATGTCATAACTTTATCTTACAATATTAGTAGTAGGGATGTTATTTTGCTATAATAGATATAGTTTTGATAAGAAGCTTAGATCATTTGTAAAAACAAAAGCAGTCTTGTCAGAGAAGGCCATGAGCTAAGGTAAAGAAGAAACAGGAGAGTGTTGAACAGCATGCCACAGTGGGGAAGGAAAGGAGATAAGAAAACTACCCTTTTACTTTCCCAAGGATATACATCCTAACTAATAGACACCTTCCAAGTGCACAAGAGATCTGGTTCAGTCCACTTCCAAAAAATTCAGTGAAACAAAGACATTTAAATAAAACCAATCAAAGATCGTTTATTAGAATATTAGAACTAGCCATCTATACATTTTTAGGCATAGGCTGGAGCAAAATTTGGAAAACTCAAGAAATACAAGACCTGCGGCCAATCTGTATGTCGCTCTTCTCCCATCTTTCAAGTCTCCCCAGCTGGTATAGGTGAGAGTCTATGTTGTGTTGTCATAGGTAGCCAGACAGACTTTGGGATAAATGTTTGGTTTTATGTTTTAGAGAGCCAGCAAATAAAATGTTAGGCTGTAGACCTCTTTCTGCTTTTTATCTGTAACCTACCCACAAGGTTACCTGTAATCTGGGTAACAGGTTGCAGACAATGATGCTTTAATATCTGGAAACTTCATGAACAACCACTGTGGAGGTTTTTACTATGATTACTGTGGTTTCTTTTTAGATAAGAATAGTTCTGTCTGCTTTAAAACACTGGAAAGGGGTCACACGCTAGCCTGCCTTTTTAAAGTATTGTAGACGCCCAAATCATAAGAGGTATTTAGTCAACACATGTTAAGTTTAAGGGTTTATTGGAGTTTGAATTGAATATAGTAGTGTATAGGGCAATATCACCTTAACTGTAGTAGAGGACATAGTGAACACCATTAGCAGCAGTCAGAAACCAGTCAGAACAGCAGTACCTATGTTAGGTCTTAACTTAGCTGTGGATATATTTGGGACCCAGCTGCATCTGTGCAGTTTCCTCAATATGTGTTATATAGAAAAATAGGACACTTTCCTTATGTTGAGGTAAAGACACTTGACAGCTGTAGTTATCATCTGGGGGAAGAGTAAGTCCTAAGAAGAGATGTGAATAATGCTGAGGTTGACATACTAGCTTTAGGTATAAACTGAGGGAGCCAAAAGAGTCAAAGCCTGGGAAGGAGGCGGGGGGGGCTGAAGGTGGAATTTGATGGGGTGAAGCAGGAGAGGAGGAATGGTAACAGAAACCAGATGAAGTGGTGTGAGATGGAGGTGGCTCAGCTTGTAGGGCAAACTGTTTAAACTGGATAGAGCCCATAATGACTAGACATACTTACAGACTATTATATCTGGAGAACCAGAATCTAAGATGACAGAGCCTGACTGATTTATATCCTTGATTAACTCCGTTTCAGCCAATGTACTTAAATTAGTTCAAGAGCAGACTCGGGCTCACCGTGCTGAAATCGCCCACTGTCCAGACATTTTTAGTGAAGCAAAAAACTCAGTTATATCTGCTGAATAACCTGTTAGCTATTTTCCTTATAATGAACATCTTTTTGACTGAATCACTGAACAAATGGCAAGCTTGTTCCAGCCTGCTGCCTTCACTAGTGTTGTTCACAAACGACTGTCTTGCTGATGGGTGTGGACCAGGCTTCATCACTAACGTGTCAAGTTGAAGGTCTCAAAAGTTTGCAGCAACTTCCTCTTCATTGAGGAGACAATGACATAGGAGATCTTATTTCAACACTTGGTGTTCTTGGGCAACTTGACGCCAGACTTGTCTATTTTTAAATCTGAAACCTTAAAAAAACATGGGTTTGAGATTAACACAGGGATTATAAATGACTACACTTCAGTATCCGAACTGAATAGAAATAATGTGATATTTTTATCTTGTGATAGTCTTGAAGTGACATGGGATTCCTCTCCTAAGCTTCCAGCACAAAGAGCAAAGAATGAAGATGGTAGGATAAATAATGGAAAGGCCTGGTATCAAGTAGTTTATCAGGAAAACTAGCAGGGAGAAATTAAATGTTTGATCACCTACCAACATATTTTATGCAACTGTTACAACGTATCTTACAAACCCCAAGGGTGTTTAATTTGACAGTTGTTTAGCTTTGAGAAATGTATTTATTTAGTTTTGTTAGCCTTTGTGGTTGGGCTGAAACACTGCCTTTTTAGCTTAGGATAATTGTGCTTTGATATATAAGCTATGGCAAAAAAGCCTCTGCTTCAGATACGTGCCTCCTGCCCTAAGTGAAGGAACATTTCTAAAATGCTGGGGCGTGGGAATGCCAGAGCCTTGAGTTGCCCTGCATCTACTTGTGTCTTGTTAACTTTCTGCTGTTATCTGAAGTATGCTTCTGATTTTGTCTAGAGTTATGTTGTCCTCCTTGGGTGACTTAACCCTTCCCAAAGTAAAGAAAAGACCTTAACAAAACACTTGAACTGCATGTAAGCATCATTCAATGGGGAGACACTGCCTGATTGCCAGACAGCAGGAGGAGGAAAACACTCCTACCTTGCAACTATCAGGAACCTGGCACCCTGACGGGAATGCTGCTGGCCTTTTTGAAGTGAATCAGTTGGCATTCCAAGATAAAAATAGGAACAAAAAGACTGATTTTTTTCTTTTTTTCTTTTTTTTTTTTTTTCTTTTTGTGATACATTAGCTCTTTAACTAAATAGCTGACTGCAGGCTGGACAATTAATTGGGGTGGTGTGCAAGAAACCCTGACCAATTCTGGATGCCAGTTGTGGATCATTTCTGAGCATGACTCTTCTTGTTAGCTGTATCATCCAGGCAATGGTCTGGGCCAGCACCCCACCCTCTCTTAAATTTTTTTCCTGCCTCCTGGGATAGGAATCGCTTACTGACATCTTTTCCAAATACAGAACCAGTTGCATTTTTTCATTCCCCTCCCCCTCACATTTGTCATTAATATTGGAAATCTCATGCCTTATTATTATTTTTTAAATGAATATTTTAACGAATTGCATTAGATAGGATTCCAGCCTCGTGCAGCACCATATGGGTTGTTGTATTGTGCAAATTGCCAGATGGTTCTTTAGAGAGAGAACTTGATCCTTGCTTGCCAAGCAATAAATCTGTTGACAGGCTCAGAACAATCTAAAATGTAGCTGTAATGGGCAGCATTAAAAAATGAGCATAAATAGGTGCATTTCCATTAGTCTTGAGGAGCTTCAGCTCCAGTGATTTCTAAAGTTTGACCCATTAGCTGAATCGGTCTCAAAGTAAAGGAGAGTAAAGAATGCCACTAAACACTTCGGAGACATTACACTGAATTATGAAATGAGCTATCTGGTTGTAATGGTTGCTGGCAGGGGAGGGAGGGGGAAAATGGCCTCCTAGGGCCTCTCTACACATGCAGTCAAAGCGCAATGGACTCTTAACACACAATTGTGCCTCCTGCCATGCCACACGTACACAGCAGGCAGCGTGATCATGGGATCACACATTGGATCCCATTGCACTTTGTCACCGGTGCAGGAGGAGCCTGGGATCCAGCCTGGGACAGGTCTCCAAAACGAGCCTGGGATGATGATCCCAGGCCCCTGCGGCTTCAAGCCCCACAGCTGACCGGGCTAGCAGCAGGGACAGTGTTGCCTGCAGCAGTTGCCCACACTGCCCCCACTGCGAGCCCGTGGTCTGTGAGGCTCACCGCAGGAGCAGCCCTGGGAATGCTGCCCCCGCTGCAGGGCTGGCAGTTAGGGCAG